TAATTATTATTTATTTTATTAATTATTAATTATTTTTACCAATTAAGTTAAACAAAATTAATATTTTTAATAAATATTTTACTGTCTTGACATTATGGGCGGTTAAAGATGACAATTTCCTTCGCGACTGGTGGAGTTTCACGAATATCCCCGCCATGGGGATGGAGATTTCAAGAATATTCCTCCCCGTGAGACGGAGATGAATGCATTTTTTTCCTCGTGAAATTTCGTGGGGAATTTTCTCCGTCTCATGGAGAACCGTGGAGGTCCATATAAAAATTTATTTATTTATTTATATTTTAAATATATTAACAATTAATTTTTATTTACTCAACCTAATTAATTGACGAATCCTTTTTTTTTTTCAGTTTTTCCAAACCCAATTATATAATCCAGTCCATCCCATAATCTTCTTAAACTTAATTGCTCAAGCCCAACCCAATTTGCATTATTTTCTTAACTTAATTGCCCAAGCCCAACCCAATTTGCTAGTAACCCTAGAACTAGAATGACTATTTCAAATTTCTGAGATTTGCGAATCTGCTCTGTGATTCCTCCTCTCCAGATTCTAGTCTCCTTTCCTCTGCACTGTAGCTCACTGGCTTTGTTTTTGTTCTTCAATTAGTTAATTCCCTTCAACCTATCATTGTCAGCAACCTTTGAAAAGTAGTGCCCATAACTTTGTTTTTCTTCTTCAATCAGCTACTTGCAACTTGCTTGAGCCTAAGTTGTGAGTATTTGTAAGTATCTGAGTATTTGTGCTTGATGATTTATTTTGAGGTGAAGCAGATCTCATTCTTTTGGCCTTATTATTTCCAATTTCATTTTCCCTTCAATTGTTCACAAGATTGTTAGAATGAGATTTTCGTTGTTTACATGCCTACATAGCTTCTTTCTCTCATTCGTAGAGAACAATAATCGTGTTGTTATTTTGAGGCTCATTCAAGCTCTTAATTCCTTCTATCTTCAGTTAATTTCTCAAATGAGAAATGAGCATTGAGTTTTATTTGGTGGGGACTCCGAATACCTACGGGGACCTATCATTCCCCGCGGGTATGGGGATGGAGACTATTTTTTATCCTCTGCCAAAAATCCCCGTGGGGATCCTTGTAGCCATCATTGACTGGGATGGGGATAGAGATGGGGAGGGGGTCCCTGCCCCCGTGGGGACCCGTTGCCATCCCTATGGGCAGTGACCATAAACTTAAGGCCATAACCTTGCCCCACTGGTGTCAATGCCAATTTATTTGGGGAAGAATCGGAAGACTATTTCCATATTGTTCTCAAGGCTACTGTGCTGGGTAGACTTGGAGAATGAACGTACTTTCTTCTGCTTCTGTGTTAGCT